AACCATCACTGAACCGAGGATTGCAATATTGCTTCTCTCTTGTAACTTCTGTTATATGCAGCAAAACCTGTAAGTAAAGACTCCGCGGTTGCTTAAAATTAGGAGGGAGGGGGCTTCCGTGCTACCTTAAACAACAGTTCCCAAAACTTAAGCTTTATAACTTTTTTTCCATTTTTATAAACAACCTCAAGCTTTATAACTAAACTATTTTGAAAACATGACAAGAATTTACAGCTTGAGGCATGCTAGGCTTAAGCCTCCTTTGACAGTTACAAGATTTTTGGAAATTTCAGATAGTGAAACTTCAAGAGGTAAAGCCAAGTCCTAAAGGCATGTGTTTTGGCCTTGGTATTACTTCCTTTGCAGCTTTGCCCAAACCTACCCTGGTCTCTAAAGAATAAAGATGAGGAATGAAAACATAACAACAAATATGGCTCTCTCAAATTATTGTTTCCTTGCTCTTGGTTTAGTGACTTGCTCTTTTCCATCATCCTCCAGGACAAATTTAAGTGACTCTCTAACTTTGTCAACTTGATTAGAACCTTTTTCAGAATTTAATTGTAAAGTGGATGCTATAATGGCAAACCTCAAAGTCAGATGAACAAGATTCAACAGGAGCAGACTGAAATCTTCGTGATATATTACTAAACCAGTTGAGACCAACATAAATAATTTTTCTGGCCTAAGAATTACGCTACAATATACCAACAGCAGCAGAAACAGAGAAATGATAAGTTAGCTTGGAAAAAGCACATGTACCCCAACCTTTTAAAAGCCAAGTAGCCTCCCAACTAGATTTCATGCAAAACACAAGATTTCAGGATGATAAAACATATAATCTTCTTAGCTGCCATCTAATGGAAAAAAAGAACAAGAACAGAATACAATGAAAGTGTCCTTAGTCATACCTGAATACATCAGACTTGTTAAAACTCATTGATTTGATTATATCAGAATCTGTGGATTATTTATCCAGACTTTTCTGCTAATAGAGAGCAGAAACATTTTTCATGCGAAGCTCCCTGCCCCTACAAAAAACAACAAGCATGCTCATCTCCAACTCTCACTTTCTATTTTTCATTTGGCACTCTTGTGTAAGCTGAGAATATAGAAAATCCATATCCACATCACTGGACTCAGACTCAGAGGACTCAGAAGTAGAACTCTCTTCATTTTCAAAACCAAGACTTCCTAGAGGAAACTCACTTATAATACAATGAGAGTGAGACATATCTTCAGACTCCATTTTCTCTTCACATTGTCTCATAATTTCTAAACTCTGCCTGGAAGTCGATGGTGTAAAAGCTTTTTCAACATCTTTCCTCCTAGAAGAAACAGCTTTTTCTGTGCAACAGTTGAGAGAAGAAAGAGACACATCAGGCTGACAGGTGGATTTCTGAAGCTTCATCTTACCTTTACCAGAACTGGTACCATCATCAACATTTTCTCCATCCTCATAATCACTCATATCTAGACCTGATACTCGTTTTCTTTTGAGCATCCTGTTTTCTATGTCTGTCTGACGTGAATGTGCACCCTCTGCTGACCATTTTAAAGTCATTTCTTTTGCATTCTGGATTCCACTAGGACTACAAACATCTTCATTTTCAATGATCCCAACAACATTTGAAGTTGGATGTTTCTCAATACCTAGCATGGAAGTGGGAAATGTTAAAGAGACATTATCAAAATTTCATAAAAAGTGGTTATTCATTTTGCATGATTCCAGTAAATCACTTAAACAACATATTTCACTGATGGATGGTCATGAGGTCATGTAAATCAGATGTGGGAAGAATATGTGACAATTCATAATGAAAAAACTCAAGAAAGCCTAGAAAAAGATAAACAGATGATTATATATAGGTACTACATTCACATTGCAAAGGCCTATTATATTGGATCATTGTACCACAGCTAGGAACCACACCCAATTCAGCATCCTTACTTTTGTCAGCAGTGATCACCTTTTCTTTGGTTTTCTCAACATTTTCTTGGTTCTCGTTCTTTGCTTCACATCCCCCACCACTCTCTACAGTTTTTGAATTTGACAACAATGAGAATTCATTATTCATAACCAAAGAACTCAAAAAAGTAAAATAGTTACTACCTTCGCTTTGTAAATGCCCATTATCTTTGATCATAGTACCGCAACTAGGACCATCACCCACTTCAACATCCTGCTTTTTGTCATCATTGATCACCTTTCCCTCAGTTTTCTCCACATTTTCTTGGTTATCTTTTGCTTCAAAACCCCCACCACGCTCAACAATGTTTGAACTTGTCAACAATGTCATTTCATCCTCCACACGCAATAGCCTTGTGTCTAACTCCTCGCATCTATTCTTCAAACTCTCAATCTCAGCCTCATCGTTAGTCTTTGAACATTCCATCTCACAAATCCTTCTCCTACGATCAATGATTTCCTTATCTTTCTCTCCCAGCTCCTTGCGCAGCATCATCTTCTCCTCTCTTAGCCTAGCAACCTGGTCACTGAATTCCTTGCACTCCACCTTGCATCTCATGAGCTCCTTTTTCACACTCAATTTATCCAACCTCTCTAAATCATACATATCCTTGAATGTTTGCTTCTCCAGCTTTAGCTTATCAATTTCACTCCTTGATTTATTTTCTCTTGCAGTCAAAACATCTTCCACCATAACAAAATCCCTAGTCCGGAAAGTTTCTTTTAGCAACGAAACCAGCCTTGGGATGCTCCAAGTGTCCATTTTGTTGTCTTCTGCATTGCCCATTTTCCCGACTAACACTGAATGTGTAAGAAATGGAAAATGATGACCTACACATGTAAGACATGGAAAATGGCAATCTTCATTAATGCCAACAACAACCACTATCCACATTACGCGAAAGGAGCTACTGCAGATTCCTTATATTTTCACACACCCATAAAAATTACACTAAAAAGGGACATCTGAAACAACAACGAGTATGTGCACCCTTCACCTTTAACCAGAAAAGCAGCAGTTATAAACTAAATCCAAAATCAAAATCATATGTCTGATTATAATGAAATTGAGATGAATGTTAGCTGCAATGGAAGAATTAACTTTACCCAGATCATCTTCATCTTTCGGAATTAGTTAGTATCAATCAAACCGCCGGCAAAGAACATTCCCATTGAAAAAAAAAAAAAGGTACACACCTCGAAACCAAGCACTGATAGTTTCTATTCTCCTCTCCTTCTTCGTAGCAAAGAAGCTGTAGTTCAGAAATGGACCCAGAAATTCATAGCGGACAGAGAAGAACACACAAGCTTAGCAGACGCTTTTGGAAGGAGAGTTTCTTTAAACCCTAATCTGTTAAACCGTCAATTGAAGGGAAGGAGAGGGAAGTGAGAAAGAGTCTCGGGTCTCTA